ATATTGTAGAACGACTACATACACGTGTACATTATATTGTAGAACGACTACATACACGTGTACATTATATTGTAGAACGACTACATACACGTGTACATTATATTGTAGAACGACTACATACACGTGGACATTATATTGTAATTACATACACGCGGACGTTATATTCTAACTACATACACGTGTACATTATATTCTAACTACATACACGTGTACATTACATTGTAATTACATACACGTGGACATTATATTGTAATTACATACACGCGGACGTTATATTCTAACTACATACACGTGTACATTATATTCTAACTACATACACGTGTACATTATATTGTAATTACATACACGTGTACATTATATTGGTATTGCTTCTTTGTGTCTCATATCTTTTTATCGTTGTGAAATCAGTTTAGAAATATTAATATTTATGTTCATCTATGGTATAACAAATAGAGTATTTTTAGAAGTCTGTTTTGGTTATGAGAAAAATATTCTTCTAGCTTATCACATTATTTTTCAGAGTTTATTCACTATAGATTTCTTTTGCAAATAAATTTAGCATTCCATTGATTCTGTCTTTGAATATAATATCAAATATCATGTTAGTGTATACAGATCGCCGTTGTGTAGCCTAATTCAAAATCTCTTACTAACTCAAAATTTGCTATATTTTTGTGATAAAACCGTAGGAGTAGTCTTCTACTTGACGTAAAAAATGATCAAATGAAAACAGTTCTGTACTATATTTTTCCAAATACCTTTCTCATATCTCTGACGTAAGTTCGATAAACTATATATATTTTTAACAGTGGGCAATGACCGTAATACTGGAACATTTTAAAAACGGCATTTCCCATAACTAGCGTTGTTCTTTTCTTCTGAGATGAGTGATCGTGACAGGGACCAAATTAGTCCTACCGAGTTCACTTATATTAGTTTATATCCAAGGTATCATTACGTTATGTCTGTAGTATTATTAATTTATGTTTATGGTATTATTAATTTAAACCCATGGCATTATTAATTTATATCCATGGCATTATTAAGTCATATCTGTGGTATTATTATGTTATAACCATGGTATCATTAGGTTATATCCATGTCATTATTCGGTTATATTTATGGCATTATTAGGTTATATCTATGGTATTATTCAGATATATCCTTGGTATTATTAAATTATATCCTTGGTATTATTAGATTATGTTCATGGCATTATTATATTATATCCATGGTATAATTAGTCTGTATCCTTGGTTTTGTCATATCTATGGTATTATACTATATCCTTAGTATTATTAGGCTATACCCTTAGAATTACTAGGTTATATCCATGGCGGAAATTAGCCTACACCCTTGGTATTATTGTGCCATAACTATGGTATTACTAGGCATTATATTTTTAATATTGTTAGGTTATATCGATGGTATTATTACCAGTGGGGGTTTTCTAAAATATTTGTATAAAAAGATTAGGAATAACGTTTATATTTGAACTTTGGACTTAGTGATTCATAACTTTACGATGATAAAGTTTCTATAGTGAGACTCCACTGTTGTTCCTTTGAATGCAGGAGCTTAATTTCTTTTTTTTTAAATCATCTTAAAGGAGAACTATTCAAATGATACTTATATGTAAAAAATGCCTGGAAAAATATCTCGCGTTAAGATGATATATAACATCAGGGTTGATGTAGTATGATACTTTAATACATAGCAACTGTAATATTACATCGTAATAATACTGATAATAGTTATTATTATTTACTGTCCTAATTTATAAGAGTTTCCAGCAAGAAGAGAGTAGAAAGCTCTATATATTGTAATCCATTGGCTTGATGAGCTCATGTTTCGAGCGGAAGTCCTCGTCATCAACGATGTTCAACAGAAACCCATAAAGGCTAGTAAAAAGACATGTGATAAAATATGTTCTTAGTCTTACTATGATGTAACATTATACCTGTTACCGTGCACATTCGGTATTTACTAGTTGTTATTGTTCTTTGCGATGTTGCTTTATATGATATAAGAAAACTTGATTAAGAATTATTGTGTTTGTTTTACTTAAAATAATGAAATATTTCTGAAAAACAAACTTGTTTGACAAGTTCACCATAACCGTCATTGTTGTCGACATTGTTGTTCTCTCAGTCTCTGCGAATTTCAGTATCTTTACTTATTATTGAGATTAATTACAATGATAAAGAGAAGTTTAATGCCATACTAGGTACCTTAAAATATCATGATCTAATCTGCCATTTTGTATCTTCTTCTAATATATCAGCCGAAAATAAAGTGATTTTTGTGCTTATTTTATTGCATTTCTCTCTCTATCTTAATTTATTCTTCTGCAAGGTTTCATTCACAACATCTAACACAGTCTCACTACTGAAGACATGATGTAAACAGAGCCAAAATAC